TCATCAGGCTCCTCTCCTGTGGAACCAACTACCAGTTTTAGTCCGTGAGGCAGACACCCTGTCTACTTTTAAGGCTAGGCTTAAAACTTTCCTTTTTGATAAAGCTTATAGTTAGAGTGGCTCAGGTTATCCTGAGCTATCTCTATAGTTATGCTGCTATAGGCTTAGACTTTTGGAGGACATAGGGACCCCCATTTCATCATTCTGCTTCATTCTCTCTCTGTTCTCCTATTCTGCAGAATCTGTTAGTTCAATCTCTGACCTTCTGCTCTCTCTGCTTTTCCTCAGAGTAGCTTTGCCTCGTCTGTTCCTGTTTGGCTGTGACGTCATCCTGGAAAGAAACATCAGCTGTGCTGCTTCCATCAACACCCTTGTTTATAGATGTTGGAGATCGGCTTGTTTTCCAGTGTGGTCCTGTTTCTCTGACCGTGACTGAGTGGAAGTGCTCTCTTCGTCCTCTGGAATGGGAGCTGGCTCGGAGCTCGTCTGCCTGGCTGTGTGTTTCCTGGACGGGGCCGCCTTTTACAGCTGCTTTTTGTGTCTCTGCTTCCGTCTCCTTGAACCCCAGTCAGCCTCAGCAGATGGCCGCTCACACTGAGCCTGGTTCTGCTGGAGGTTTCTTCCTGTTAAAAGGGAGTTTTTCCTCTCCACTGTCGCTACAAGCATGCTTAGTGTGAGGGATTGTATTTGAGTCAATGAGTCAATGCAATCAACTGGTTTTCCTTAGACAGAAAACTTTGTATCAATTTGACTGTATGATCTGGTTGAACTGTAAAGTGCCTTGAGATGACATGTGTTGTGAATTTGGCGCTATATAAATAAACTGAATTGAATTGAATTGACTGGGATTACGTAACTTCCCATGGGTACAATTTGTCCACAAGCATGACCAGTTGTAATGATGGTGAGTGAGAGGTGAGGCTGGGCCATACATATGTATGCAAATGTATATATACATATATTCAAAATCAATTTCATATTTTGATTTTATAGCATTTGTATTGACTATAACCTTTGTCAATTTCTATTTTACTGGCAGCTAATTTTTTTCTGGAAGGATATATAAGCTTTCAAGTTCAAAAGTATCTTTATTACTGTCAACTGACAACTGACCAGATTAGGGATCTGTACATATCAAAGAAGCACATTAATTTCTTCTACTAATCGACTATATGCAAAGCTCCATTACTTTCAAAGAATCAGCTGCTCTTTTGTTGTCTGTCTTTTATTACTGGTCAAGCCGATTGATCAAGTTGTGTCTGACTGGTTACTGAGGTTCTTTTCTCTCTAGCTCCTCTGACTTCTGCCTGCTCTAAGTAGATTTTTCTCTCTTCTCTTTAACTGTTCTTTCCATCATTGTTCCTGTTTTTCTCAACTCTCATTTAATCTTATTTCAATCAGTCTTCCTATCTTCTTCCTCTATTCTTCTATCAATTTTGCACTATTCTAAAACAGAGACTTGATATAATCACAATCCTGTCCAAAAACATTCAAATACACGTTATTCAAACTCAAAATGTAATTGTTCAAATAAGATTTTTTTTCTACACATCTATAGGAAGTAGGGTATTTAAGATGAGTTATGTCATCATATAAATAATAGTAATTATTGTTGTTGTTTTTATTTTCTCAACTGAAAAAATACAAAACAATGCTAATTATCAAACAATATCAACATCAAACAGGTGGTTATATCTTACTCCATTAATTCTTAAATCATGCAGATCTTGTCTCTTTCAGTTTTCCTGTTACTGACTACTATTTTTATGAGGAACTTTTATACATCCAAACTGTGTAGTAAGCCTGGAAGTCTATGCTCATAAATGTCAACCATAAATAAACAAAATAGCTTATAATAACTTTGTTTATGAAAAATAACAATTTGAAAATGTAAACTGTTCCTTATGTTACTAACAGAGCACGTTACTCTCAATTGCAGGTTTACTAGTGGTTCCTAGAATTTCTAAAAGTTGAATGGGAGGCAGATCTTTTAGTTATCAGGCTCCTCTCCTGTGGAACCAACTACCAGTTTTAATCCGTGAGGCAGACACCCTGTCTACTTTTAAGACCAGGCTTAGAACTTTCCTCTTTGATAAAGTTTATAGTTCTGAGCTATCTCTATAGATATGCTGCTATAGGCTTAGACTGCTGGAGGACATAGGGACCCCTTTTTCATCATTCTGCTTCATTCTATCTCTATTCTCCCACTCTGTTGGCTGTGACTCCATCCTGGAGAGAAATATCAGCTGTGCTGCTGCTATCAACACCTTTGTTTATAGTTGCTGGAGATCGGCCTGTTTTTCCAGTGTAGTCCTGTTTCTCTGACGGTGACTGGCTGGATGTGCTCTCTTCATCCTCTGACATGGGAGCTGGCTCAGAGCTTGTCTGCCTGGCTGTGTGTTTCCTGGATGGGGCCGCCATTTACAGCTGCTTTTTCTATCTCTGCTTCTGTCTCCTTGAACCCCAGTCGGCCTCAGCAGATGGTCACTCACACTGAGCCTGGTTCTGCTGGAGGTTTCTTCCTGTTAAAAGGGAGTATTTCCTCTCCAATGTCGCTACATCAATTGTTGGGGTCAGGGATTGCTTTTGAGTAAATGACTGAATGCAATCAACTGGTTTCCTTAGATAGAAAACTGTGCATCAATTTAACTGTATGATCTGGTATCTGTAAAGTGCCTTGAGATGACATTCTGTGAATTGGCACTATATAGATAAACTGAATTGAAATGAATTAAACTAAAGGTCAATTATCAGTTCTAAAACATCTTTAGACAAACCCCTGTTGATGCTTGGAGAACAACCGTACCAGATTAGGGCCTCATAAGGAGTTTTCACACATGCAAGCTACAACCAGTTTACCTTGCAAGCAAGATTAATTGTTGTATGATTTGCAAACTCAGTAGAATTCAAATTAAACTACACATATCAATCTGGCTTATCCCAGGTTAGTTGTCTTACTTTGTGTTGATTAGCTTGGTTTATGTCACATTTTGTTTCATCTTTAGTAAAACAAAACACATCAAAGCCCCATATTTTCTTTCAACCTGTGCATAAACATTTATCACAAGGACCAGCCCAAACCAGATTGAATGAATTTACACATTTACCAAACTACAGGGCAGCTCCCCATCAGCTGTGACCTCTTGTGACAACATACTTCCGCTTATTCTTCTTTCTCTGCTATAAAAGTGGTGCTCTCTGTTCCTCATTTTTTAACTGTGACAGCTGTTTCTGTGAACAACAAGCTCACACGCTCTTTTTGGTATCGATTTTGTACCTTAAAGAAGACAAAGAAGGTTCTCACAGCACAGTTATGAGGTATAATAGTAGTTACCAACAGGAACCAAACCCTGTTGTCTGGGTGGTTCTTAACCTAAACCTGTTAACAGGGGGCCTCCAGGGTAGGTACATGGTTAAAGCTGCCTTATAAAGGGTTTGTCACCTTCTAATTAAAGTGTATTTCAATTTTGAGGTTCTAAGAGTACTTTCATGATTTGTATGGGACTTCTTAACTTGGGATCTATGTCAATCGGGCTGTATTTCAAATAGACCACTTTAGAGTACTATTAGGGTCCCTACAGAGAGCAGGAAGAAATATTATAGGATTTATTACCGGTTCATAAAACAGTATCAGCTGGGTATCTTTGGAATACCAGCAGGGTTTTTATGGTCTGCCAAGAGAGTAAATAGTCTATATTGTAACAGAACTTTTTGTGCTGTACTTAGCGATTGGGTATTTCAGGGGTCAAGACTATTTCAATGAAAACAATCATCTTGTCTTTTAATGGTATTTTCAATGGATATTAAGTTAATTACACAGTTAACTGGAATATTTTCAATGGGAACCACAGTGCATTGTAAGATCTCTTACTTTAGGGTACTCGCCAACAAATATCTGCCATGTTTTGTGCTATGTGCCATTTTTACTAGACTTGTTTATCAGTAGAACTGCATATTAACTTTGTTTTCTGTATTTTATTATGAATAACTTCCTAAAATGTATCTGAATATTTGAATTTGTCACTTCAAAAGTTAATATAAAAACCTGATACCACGTACGTCAGAAGTTTTCTGCACTCTTCAAAACACAGCATGAAAGGCACAAACAAGTCACACCTCATTATAGATACTCTGTAATATTGGAGCCATGCGGTCCTTTGGTGAAGACTCGTCTTGCTTTATGTAGTGAGGACCATAAATAAATAAATTGAACTTTATTAATCTCACAATGGAGAAATGAACTCTGGATTTAACCCTACTCCTCTGGATAGCAGTGAGCTGCCACTCACAGCGCCAATCAGGGTTAAGGGTCTTGCTCGGAGACACAGAGTGGCAGTCTGTGCCTGACATTTACCCTAAACCTAACATTACCAGTCCTAGTGATGGGTTCATGAGGTTTTTCAACACGTTACTGAATACTGACACCTGTTGGACATTTAAAATCACTACACCCAGCCTCTTTGACAGACTAAACTGACACTGATTTAATGACCTATAATATGATTTAAAGTATTGTTGCAATATTATTCCATATCTTCAATTGAAAATATGATTGATATTTTAGATGCAATCCATAAAAGTGAATATATAACAGGAACATTTAAGTCAACATATGAATAAGGATGTTTGTGGGGTAGGATTTATTTAAAATAACTACATTAAGAACAGCAAACTTAGAGACAATTTATTTTTTTAATTGATTGATAACTGAGAGAAACATGATGATACAATGAAAAATTTAAAACAAATATGAGATCAAAAAGGTCCCACAAGCCTGAGGCTGGTCCATATTTCTTAATTTCATGTTAAACTGCAAAAGATCAGATTTTTTTTTGGCAGATGCACTTAAAAACACATTGTAGTGTATCAGTCAGTTCGAAGCAGCTTCTGTATTGGTCACATGACTTTCTTGAAACAATATGTGCACCGACAGAGGGCTTTGCTGTTAGAGCTCAACATGCGGCGGGGCAACTGAGACTGAAAATAAAAGACCAAAAATCTAGACCTTTAGTAGGGAAACATTTTATTCTGAGCCATGGAGTAATATTAAAGTCAATGAAGAAACATAATGGTTGTGTTAGATTAAAAAAAGAAAAACTTCCATATACCCACCATAATATTCTAAAGCCTTATTGAGAAATTCACAGTATGAAATGGACAGAACTCTGAGGAGATCGCCAATAGTTTGGCTCTAACTATCTACTTATATTCACCACTGGCTGCAGTGGCTGTTAGGACTCTTAAATGTACAGAAAGAAAGGCACTTACAGGCTAAAGGCTCATATTATCATAAACCTGACGGGTTTGAAATCAATGTTCACTCAATTCTAAGGTTTAATTTCAAACCATCTTAACTCAACTTTAGGTTTTTGCTATTGTCTCTTTCAGACCAACAAAACACAAAGTTGATAAATCGATGATAACGGATCATTCCTCAGTGAGCACTAAACGATGAGCTGTCAGGTCCTGCATCCAGTTCCTCTGTAGACTCTGTATGACCGTGTCCCCTTGATCTTCAGGCCTTCTTCTGTTTCAGCATCTCCATATACATGCGAAGCGACTTCTGGATGGATTCTTTGGTGATGAAGTTGACAAAGTTCTGGATGTCGGCCTCTCTGTTGGACCTTAGCTTCTCAATGGTTTGCTTCCTCATCATGGACTTGGTGATCTGTCTGGCGTGTTCTTCGGGTGAACAGGAAACTCACAGTTAGTGCTAAAGCTTTTGTGCAGGACAGATTTTACACTTTGTGTTAAGATAATTCATTCTGATTTTCTGTCATGAAGTTTCAACTTAAATTTCATTCCTAAATCACGGAGAGAAGATTAAAACCAACCAGGCCTCAACCCTGTGCAATGCCCTGTGCACCTCATTCACCAATCTAATTTGTAGTAGCATCAGTTTACTGTAGCATTTCATCCTATCATGCACAGCCAGCGATGTAATGTTAAAATTCACACAATAAACCAAGATATGATTAGGTGTTTACTGAAGTCTTTATGATTTCTACAGGCAGGTTTACCACAATAGTAGATTCAAACCCTGAAATTATGGCTTTTAATTTCAGCGTGCCATCCCAAGATTTTTAGTGGCCCCATCTGGCCACCCCTATGAAACATTTGTCCAGGCGCCACTGGATGTGAATTCTCTTAAAGGTGCTGTAGGAGATCTTGGAAAAACGGTTCCAGCAGGCTATATTTCTGAACATACGCAACCATACCTCTCCCTTCAGACCACCCCTCGAAACCAGGCCTTCAAAACACATGAACGCACATGCTGTCTGTCGAGGTGTTCAGATCAGATCGAGAACGAAACAAGCCGAGGCCGAGTGCTCGTGACATGAGCTAACAACAACATAATGCTACGTTCACACCTAAAGCAGCAGAGGCAGCAAAAGCAGCTAGTTTACATGCAAAGTCAATGGTTGATGCGCATCAAGGAGCAGCAATAGGTCCAAAACTTAAATCCTAGAACAGAGTTTTAATGTTTTTCGGTCTTGGACCCCGAGATTAAGGATGAGACGTGTTAAAGACTCTGATAGAGGGATGCTGATGAATATCGTTCTGTCCCTGTTAAAAGGGAGTTTTTCCTCTCCACTGTCGCTACAAGCATGCTTAGTATGAGGGATTGTTGAAGAGTCAATGAGTCGACGCAATCAACTGGTTTTCCTTGTATAGAAAACTTTGAATCAATTTGACTGTATGATCTGGTAAACTGTAAAGTGCCTTGAGATGATGTGTACTGTGAATTGGCACTATAGAAATAAACTCAATTGAATTGAATATCCTGAGGATTTAACCTTTTGAGCTCAGAGAGTTTTAGATCTAATTCATGACTGAAAATATAAAAAAAATTATAAAAAAATAATTTACAGCCATCAGAACATGAATGGATATTTAAATTTTGGTTGGAAAAGGATTCTGGGCTGGTAAAACAGTGTTTTCAGATTGGTAGTTGATATCCTTTTAGGCACGGCCAGGGAAAAATCCTCCTAGAACATCCTGGACCCCAGCAGACCCTCCATATAAATGGAGTGCAGTATTATGTGTTAAACATGTCCTCAGGATCAAAGACTCCAGTGTGTCTGTATAACATTTTTGGCCATATGAGCAGACCGAGATTTAAAGAAGGTTGGAAAACTCAATAAGGGGTTTGTTTTATTGTTTTGTGTTTATTGGCTCTGCAGTTAGCCATTTCAAAAGGCCTATGTAAACCAGCAAATTAACCGATGCATAAATTACCACCTAAGTTTGCATTCACTTCCTTAAAGTCGTAGGGAAGCGGCTGTTCCAACCGTTGCATTTCTGAATTCTCCCGAATGGTGCACCACTTTAGACGAGTGAATAAAGTGAATGTGATTGGTTGTTTATCAAGGTAGGGTATTGTTGTGGTGGAAATTCGCAAGCAAGTGTGATTGTGGCTGGTTTGTTAGAAGCATCTTGCTAACCAGTTAGCAACTTAGTGCTAGCAGGTTCCCAATGGGAAATTCCATTGGGACCAAGTAGCACTAAAATGGTGACTCAGAAACGACACTGTCAAGGAACGCTATGGACAGAGGAAACATGCAAGAGGAGGAGAGTTTAGTATCGGAGGTCGTGGATGAGTCTCCTCCGTCATCCATTTTTTATTTAGAGAAGGAAAGCGGGAATGAAGTTGTTGTGGAAGAGGACGCCAGGGCGGCAGAAGCTTGGTTTGGTGTAGAAGGCTTACAGCCGTACATGTTTGAGTCCTTGCCTCGCAACGCTGCCAGTTCTGTTAGCTCTACACCTGCTGAAGACACAGACGTCCATCCCCGTGAACACTGGGACGGAACTCAATGGGAAAGGAAATGATTCTTATTTCAATCGCTGCGTATATTAGCTGCGACAAATGAATCAAGATGCTATGACCGAAAAAATTTGATTGACAGATGACCGTTGATATATGATTGGCCGAATTTAGGTGTTCAGGCTGACATATAACTAACTGGCCTGCATTAGATAACGGGGAAAAACCCCCACAGATTTTAAGACAAGATTATTCTAAAAATAGAAATTTTCTAACTTTAGGGACAATATGGTGATAAAGAGTACATTTATATACCTGTTTAAGCCAGAATAAAAGGCTTTCTCAAATTGGAAAACTACAACAACTAATAAATGTTTTAAATTTAAAGTGAGCATTGTCTGAAATGTTTTCAGTGTGAGAGGATTCTAAAGAGATACAGGATTAATTCCTATTAACTAGGGGTGTAAATAATAATCGTTTTGTATCGATGCATCGATCCAAAAGCCGACGATCCGATGCATCGACACGTCCGCAAGATAATCGATTCATGTTTTTTTTCCCTCCGGTCTATTTTTATCCATTTGCTCCTGGGCGTAATTCTCCTCCCGTGCTGCGGTGGCGCTAAACCTATTTTGCCCTCCTACCTCACTTCCTGGTTATACTCTCACAGCAGTGTGTTGCAGTAAGTTTGACACAGACATTTTTAATTATGCTCAGTATTTAAGCGTGGCGTGGCCGAGGCTGCGAGAAAATGGGGGCGAGTTTAGTCTGACGACGGAGGGACATGAGGGCCAAAAAGAGCGGAGATCCAGCTGGAAAAAGGGTCCCAGCGTTCTCGCGCACCTCGCTCTTCTAGCGGGTCAAACTTCACGAGTTGATTTCCGCAATTTCGGTCATAAAACAAAACAAGCCGGCCTCCTGTCTGCTGCACTGTTTGCGGTCAGCTACAATCTGAGAGAGGAGCAGCGGAGCGTCTCTCAAGGGGGCGGTGACGTCAACACTCTGGAGCCTTCTTCTTCTTCTTTTTTTTAATGGCGGTTGGCAAACAACTTATAGGTGCATTACCGCCACCTTCCAGAATGGAGTATGGACCAGACAAACTATTATATTCTCCCTAAAATACCCGTTCTTCTTAGAAAATTAAAAATACTCCCAAAAACTACATCCCCAGATTACCTTTGAAACAATTCCCTTATATCTAGTTTATTTTTATTCCTGTCTAACTCTCTATGCAACATCTCTCTTTCCTGAGTATATTTATTACATTATAAAAAAATATGTTGGACAGTTTCTCTGGAGCCGAGGTATTGCATTGAACTCATTACACTGATATTGTGCAGTATTTTTTGATGCAACTTTTCTACTTCTGTTATTTGCTGTTGTTTCTAAAGAAAATGCATAATGATATTACAGCTTTCATTGATTTATTTCAAACTTGAAACTTTGGTGTAAAAAAAATAATAATAATTAAAAAAAATTTAACTGATTAATCGATTAATCGAATCGAATCGTGGTGTATTCTTGAGTATCGAAAATAATCGAATCGTTGGGTCAGGAAATCGATACTGAATCGAATCGCCATGATGGATGTGATTTACACCCCTACTATTAACACATCTTCACCAAGGGTATCATTAAATATGACATTATCTATACTAAGGGATTTTATTTTTTGTATGTTTGTGGATGGAAACTGAACCAAAAACTGAACTCAAATAAGAAAAAAATCCACTGCAGTGTAAATAGGCTTCCTTTTTAAATGGACACCTGGCAGTAATGTCTATCAACCAACACAAGTGGGGGCTGAAGCTTCACAAACACAGGCTGTGGATGAGGTGGTGAGGATGAACTGAGTCTTTGTTCTATCAGACCAGCACACCCATAATCAATACCCGTTCATCCCTCTGGTTCATCCCTTTAGTTTAGTGCGAAAAATAAACTTTGAACAATCTCACCGGGCCTGAATCCCTTTAGTCATGTACAAAAAAGAAAATGTATTTACCTACTTTTTGGTGGTGACACATTACCTGGAATAGCCAACCACTTGGTTATGGTCTGTGTGGCAGCAGTGAGGACCTGATCTTCAGGCACCAGCTGGTCCACCAGTCCTATCTTCAGGGCCTCTGCAGGCTTGTAGAGCAAACCTAACTCCAGCGCCATCTCTGTGTTCCTGTGGCCCACTGTGTTGACCATAGTGTCCTTAAACCTGGAGCAGCAAACTAAGATCACTTAGAGATCAGCCTTGCATTCATTTCACCAATGTTCACAGGGCACCACCAGGGTTAAAGCTTCTTACCAAAAAGGTGCTACTATGCCGAGCTGCGTCTCATTCAGACCGATGCTGTACCGCGGGTTGTCAGCCATGATCCTATAGTCACACGTCAGAGACATCAGGCAGCCTCCTGCTGGACTGGAGCCCTGTGGAGGTGATGAGGAGAGAGGCGGATGGCCTAGTTTAAGGTATTAACTCTACAAATCAGGCCTTTCTGGAGGCATATTGAGAGAGAAAAAGCAAGTGAAGTAAAATCGGCATAAAATGTCCCTGTTAGCAGAAAACTGGCAGAGGACTTCAAACGTAGGCAGCAGTTTAAAGCATGTATTCATGTTAGAATGACCTGGTCCAAAATGATTATCAGTAGAACAAAGCTGAACTTACGAATATATTTCAAACTGAACTTTTATCATCAAACAATATCATCATAGTAGTTTTTCCTCTTGGTATATTTTCCAGCTTTTTTTTATTTTTATTATTATTCTTTTACTGTCATTATACTGTCAAAAGTACAGAGCAACGAAATTCACTCTCTGCATTTTACCCGTCCTCTTGGGGAGCAGTGGGCTGCCATTGTGGGGCACCCGGGGAGCAGTGTGATATTAAGGGTCTTGCTCAGGAACCCAGAGTGGCAGTCTGTAGGAGTGGGGCTTAAACTAAAAACCTAAGGATTCTAGGTGCCCTAACCACTAGGCCGCCACTCCCCAAAGCACGGATTGGCGTAAAGGGTCTTACCTAAGTACTGGCAGCTCATTCCTCCCTTCTGGGATACGAACCCAGCTTCATGTTTGCAGGACAGGTGACTTATCACTTAAGCTTTATATTTTCCAAGCGTCTGAGATATTTTTAACAAACTTTATACTAAATATTGAAACTTTCCTATTGAAACTATTGAACTAAAATGTTAGCTGGTGGCCCTACAGCCTGAATGACTGAGTTCTAATAATTATCGACTTCAAAGGTCTGAACACAAATCATTTCACACCTTTTGGTTTTATTTCCCAAATTATATTTTTCCCACTTAAAGTGATCTACCATTATTGATCTATCACTTTAAGAACCAATGAAATGCATCTAAGATTGTGATTTTAATGTGAGGCAACTCAGAAAGGAAAACTTCCATAATGCAAACATGTTAGGGTTGGGTTGCTATTTACGTACGTTAATTGCAGCAATCGTAACCATGTTGGAGCCGTAAAGTTTCAGCCACATCTCCTGTACGGCCTTCCAGAACTCCCCACAGTGCTCGGGGCTCTTGCCGTACATCTCCAGGATATCCAGGCCGGCAGAGAACACCTTGGGCTGGTTCTGGATCAAAGCACGCCATAAACATTCACAGGTTCATGATCATCATTTACAACAACACTGATCAGTAGGGTGATTATGACCGCTGGCCTTACCGAGGTGATGATGATGCCTCTGCAACCCTTATCCATCTCCAGCTTCTCCAAACTAATGCAGACTTCTGTGAGGAAATCTAGACTCAGGCTGTTGACCGGAGGACTCTGCATACGCATCACGGCCACACCTGCAGACATGTGAGAGATGCTGATCTTTAGTACTAACTCCCATTTAATACCATGCTCCTATTTATAGATTCTGCAAAGGAAGCAGATAAAACCAGTACAAAAGAAATGACCATTTGAAGTTCCTGAGGTCTTTCTGTTAGGATTGCCCTGTTCAGGACCTAGAAGCTACACCAACGTAGCATCTCTAGACCACTTGCATTACATTAAGCTGAGCTATCTCTATAGTTATGCTGCTATAGGCTTAGACTGCTGGAGGACATAGGAACCCCTATTTCATAATTCTGCTTAATTCTATCTCTATTCTCCCACTCTGCAGAATCTGTTAGTTCAATCTCTAACGTTCTGCTCTCTCTGCTTTTTCTCATAGTAGCTTTGCCTCGTCTGTTCCTGTTTGGCTGTAACTCCATCCTGGAGAGAAATATCAGCTGTGCTGCTTCCATCAACACCTTTGTTTATGGATGTTGGAGATCTGCCTGTTTTTCCAGTGTAGTCCTGTTTCTCTGACTGTGACTAACTGGATGTGCTCTCTTCATCCTCTGACATGGAAACTGGCTGGGAGCTCATCTGCCTTGCTGTGTGTTTCCTGGACGGGGCCGCCTTTATAGTTGACTTTTGTATCTCTGCTTCTGTCTCCTTGAACCCCAGGCAGCCTCGGCAGATGGCCGCTCACAATATCATCTGATAAAGAGTACATTTAAGTATACAAGAACAAAATCAAAACGAAATCAAAACAAAAGACTAATTTAAGATGTTCCTGCATATAATCATAAGAAATCTATTCAGTATTATGTCTTCATAACAGGGGCTATAACAGAGTTCTGCATGGCCACTGGCCCCTACTGGCCCTTGTCTTGACCTGCCCACCGATAAAAACAACTGATTTTGTCCAACAGAGTGAAGAGAACAAGCAGGGAGAACAATGATGGCATCAATCCCAATCCCACCTGTAGTTTGGTCATAATCCACCTTGATCTTGGGTGAGGTGGAGTTTTTCCTTTGAGAGATGAAGCTGGGGGACAATCTGCCATGACTGCTGCAGGAGAGAAGACCTTAAAAAAACAAAGACAGACTGTCTCAGTGGACATGTCCAACCTGTACTAAAATCACTGCACAGATTAATTATCCAAACAAGATCCAATTAACAGGAATTCAGCGTCACAAAGAAAACCTCAGATTATGAGGAAGACTTCCTCGATATGTAACTGAATTAAGCCAGAGTAAAAAAATATACATAGTTGTGCATCTGGAACACATTTTATTCAAGCATCTACTTAAAAAAAAAAAAAAAAAAAAAAACAATTATATGGTGTAAAATGGAGATATGTCACCGTTTCATCGCGAAACCTTCTAAACAATAAAGCTCTTTGAATGAAAATACTAATATATACAGAATGGACCGCTGTTAAATTTAACAGATGCACAAAAACCTCAGGAAACTAAACTAACAACACAAAACCAGAGGTTAAAAGTGACAGTATGCTGCGACCTTTGCTCCACTTTCTGTCTCTGAGCGCAGCTAAAAACAAACATGTCAGATAAACCAGGAGGTAAAGAAAAAAACTATAAACATGCATAAAACAAAACTTTGAAAACGGGACAGAAAGGTTGCAATAAATCAAACCTGATAAGGCAGCTCTGCCTCTGAATGCAGTTCTCAAAGCCATTTTAGGTCGCAGGTCTGTTTTTCTCTTCGTCTTCTTCTCCTTCTTCGTCTTCAGCCTGTTGGTTTGTTTCGTGGAAACAGCGCCCTCTTCTGACCTGACAGAATTCGGCTTTTTAGACCACTTCGAAGGATGACTTAAAAGCACAATTAAATTTAAACTTGGAAATAAAAATATATGATTAAATAAATAAACGAATAAATAAACAAATAATTAAATAAAATCAAAATATAATCCAAACCTAGTCAATGTTTTGGGGACAATTTTATGGCAGCTTTTTGTAGCATAATTGAGATCAGGGGTCTTTAAAGTTTTTCAGGCCAAGGACCCCAAAACTGATGGAGAGATGGAGCAGGGACCCCCTATTTATATATATTGTATGAAATTGTGTTATATCAAACTGGTCCTATTGTCCCTCTATGGAGTAATGTATGAAAGTAATTTCTCCCTGGGATTATTAAAGTGTTTCTGATTCCTTGTTGATGGGACAGGTCTTGTGAATAAAACGGTGCCCAGCTTGAAAGAGCTCCTGTGTGTCGCTGAATGTGTGCACTGATGACTGAAAGACAACTTCTGCCTTCATTTATCTGTTTACTGCAGTGTGCTGAATTAATGTAAATGTTTATTTAAACACATTTCAATTACTGGAAAAAATTTCGGGGGTGGGGGGGTGGGGGGGGGGGGGAGAATAACAAAAAGTATAATAACTAACCTCCGTGGACCCCCTAGGGGTCGCAGAGCCCCTGTTGAAGACCTCCGATTAAGATCATACGCACTTCACTAAAAAAAGATAAAAGTAAACACGATAGATTGTAAAGTGATTACAGGAAACCCAAAGTGCTTTTAACCTGTATGTCTCAGTGTAGAGCTTTTTTTCAAAAGCCCTTAATTATAAGAATTCATTAGAAAACATTTTCTTTAACCATTCTTCCTGTAAAACAGGAGCTTTTCCTCTCCACTGTCGCTACAAGCATGCTTAGTGTGAGGGATTTCATTCGAGTCAATGAGTCTGGACGGGGCCACCTTTTACAGTTGCTTTTTGTATCTGTTAGGAATCCACTTTGTGTTTTTTTGTTTGTTTTCCTCCACCTACAGGAGGCGCCTGGTTCTCGTTGGCCTTCCCACACACCTGCGGATGGTTGCCTCATTACCGGAGGACTCTTAAGCTGCTGACTGCCAATACCTTGACGCCAGAGTGTTTGTCAGTTTTGGGTACTCTAGCCAAGCTGAGTTTTGCTGAGTCAAACTGAGTTTTTATCACCTGTGTCTTAACCTTGTTGTTTTTTGTCTTTGCCTCTCGGCAGGAAGTCATCCTGCAAACTAGATGTTTCGGACCTTCTCCCCCTGGAAGTATTGTCTGAGTGTCAAACTGAGCTGAGGATTCAAACTGGTGGTTTGGATCAACTTTTCCCCAAGGATCGTTTGGGCTTCTCTCTGAGCAGGGGATTTTTCTCCACAAGAAACCGTTCAAGTACCGCAGGAAATCTAAGTGGCAGTCAGCTCCTTCGTTCCTCAGGGAAACGCCCTCCAACGAGCAAGTCTATACTGGAACAACCCACACTGACTGGATTCAAAGAAAGACACCTTTTTCTGGAAAGGTGAGTCCAGTTGCTTTTATTCCCTTTTTCAAATCAAAGACACATTTCCCACTGAGCCTGAACTAACCACAGGAACTTCCCCTTCACTTTTCAGTCCCGGTTCGCCAGTGTTCAGAGCAGCATTGGACCCTTCTCTACCAACTCACAATAAACCTGTTTAACCTTCCCCTGGTCTCTCTGTTTGGTTTTCTGCATGTGGGTCGGATCTTTGGATAAAATCATGACAGTTATCTCTGCTTCTGTCTCCTTGAACCCCAGTCAGCCTCGGCAGATGGCTGTCACACTGAGCCTGGTTCTGTTAGAGGTTCCTTCCTGTTAAAAGGGAGTTTTTCCTCTCCACTGTCGCTACAAGCATGCTTAGTGTGAGGGATTGTATTTGAGTCTGCACTCTGCAGAACACTCTTGAATTTCTTTGTGTATCTGAGCTTCTCAACAATATCCTTATGACCTTAACTTCTGTTGTTTAAGGTGCAATATTTGTGGCAGCTGTTTCCTTTCACCCAGTTTAATTTAACTTTTATCTAGCCATCTTGTATTGTGTCATTTTGTGATAATACACTGGCTGAACTCAACTGGACTCTCTCACAGCTCATCTCATATATAGACAAACAGAAATTTAGTTATCTGCCATAAAGGTCCTCACAATAAACTGATAAAGCGGGATCATCCACTGAAAAAATATATTTAACTGTCAATATAATAAAACTGTTATATATCAAACCGTTTGCAAAGGTCAACAAATTTTTTAACCAACCTCCCACCCCCCAAGCCACATTTTAGCAAATTTAAATGTTAAACAAGCATTAACCCATGTAATGCTAAAGTTAAACAGGATTTAGCATTTAATTGATTGACCTTATTGATCTCACAGTGGCGAAATATGTTTATAACATCATTAAACAGTCAAAAGAAGTTGTTGCTAAAGGAACAAAAAAGGTGCATGGGATATAAACAGTATATAAAGTACATCCACATATGACAGCTTTTTTGTATTTAAAACAAGATTATTAAACTGGGTTATTGCACAGGGTGGGTATTAATATAGATGGATATTTATTGCACTGGGTGTCAAATATTGAGAAACAGGTTGTCGCACAGGTTATTGAATATTATATAAGTTATTGCCGTTGTAGTGTCACATTGTAGAGTCTGATAGCAGCAGGGATGAATGACCTGCGGTAGTGCTCCTTTTTACAAACAGGATGTAAAATCTTTCACTAAAGGAGCTGATCAGCACCTCTACAGTCTGGTGCAGGATGTGGAAGCTGTTGCCCATGATGGATGCAAGCTTAGACAGCACCCTCCTTTCAGCAACTTCCTCCACTAAATCTAGAGTGCAGCCAAGGACAGAAACAGCCTTTATCAACAGTTTGTTCAGTTTCTTTCTATGCCTCTCTGTGCTGTTAGTGTCATTAGATTAGATTAGATGAGCTTTATTGATCTCACAGCGGTGAAATTCACTGGTCACATATTGGCATAGTAATTAAAGAAGTTGCAAACAAGGAGGAAAAGGTGTATTAGGAATAAATAAAAAAAAAAGAAAAAAGAAATAAATAAAAATAAGAAATAAAAAATACAAGGGAGTAACACAGAGATATGAGCTGACATATGTACAATCAGGATGGCTTATATACAGGTGGATTGACTTTTACGTTAAAATGTAGTAGGTAACGAACAACGGTGAGGTAGTGGTCTGACTATTATATTCACATATATTGCACAGTCAGCATATTGCACTTTATATTGCACAGTCAATAAATAAAAGCTATAATATAGCTGCACAGTGGTTTTTACTAGTGTTGTACTGATACCGATACCAGTATCGGACGGGGCCCCGATACTGCTCTAAAATGGTGGTATCGGTATCGGCGAGTACCAACAAATAGGGCACCGATACCATTTTGAGAGCCATAAGTTTATTCAACTATTGTCACCCACTCCTGGTAGGCAATAAAAAGTTCTACTGGATTCACTTTGTATTAGATTTTTTCCTGCTTCCCAAAGGTAGGCAGCAGCTTGACAAAGCCATGATGGCAATTATTTTACATTATTATGGTATCGGTATCGGCCGATACTGCACAGCCAGGTATCAGGTATCAGTATCGGGGCCAAAAATGGCATCGGCGCAACAGTAGTTTTTACAGGAGTTATTGTGGTTATAGTGCAGTATTATAGAGTCTGGTGGCAGCAGGAATGAATGACCTGCGGTAGAGCTCCTTTTTACAGACAGGGTGTCTAAGTCTTTGACTAAAGGAGCTGCTCAGCTCCTCTACAGTCTGGTGCAGGGGGTGAGAGGTGTTGTCCATGATGGATGTGAGTTTGGACAGCACCCTCCTCTCAGCCACTTCCTCCACCGAGGCCAGAGGGCAGCCCAGGACAGAAGTGGCCTTCCTCACCAGCTTATTCAGTCTCTTTCTGTCCCGCTCTGAGCTGCCAGGGGCCCAGCAGACAACAGCGTAGAGGAGGGCTGTCATCTACTCTGATGTTGGGCCGGTAGGCGAACTGCAGCGGGTCCATGGTGGGGCTCACCACGGTGCGAAGGTGGGGGAGGACGAGGCGCTCCATGGTCTTCAGCGGGAAAAATGGACCCAGTATTCAGGCGAGACAGACAGTGGGAAGTTTCAAAACATTTAATGACAAAAATAAAAGAGAAACAAAACAGAAACTAAAGCTGTGGGTCAGCGGACATGCAACGGCTAGTACGAGGGCAGGGCACAACCCATCACTGGCACTCTGGTTGTGAGAGAAACACAGGTAAGTGGACAATTGATGATCTAACAGAAGATGATTATGCATCACCTACCTGGTCAAACAGTTCAGTCCATGCACTACCAACTAGATGCGGCGCTGAGTGGTCCAAAGTGTCCCTGATGCATCAGCCCCAGTGAGCAGTCAGAAGACCTATCCAGGTCGAGAAAAACAGTTCAGAACAGGATCGTTCTGAGATCCTGGTCGGGCTACAGACTCCAAACAGGAACAGACAGATCAGTGGTTCCAAGAATTTACATAGCGTTCAGGCAGGTTCAGTGGTAGAGAGGAACAGAGACAAGACATGGTACCAGGAGAACTGCAGAACTTTAAACCATACTCCTCTTAGGAGCCAGGATCACAGGAATTAAAACTGGCCTCCCCGCACTCCGAGCCAAAACCCAGAGGACTCCAAAGAGAAGGGCCTAAACCCGAGCTCCCACCGCACGATGAGCCAAAACCCTGAGGGCTCCATGAAGAAGAACCAGGACACGATCACTGTCAAACACATTTCTCATGTACTCTTTAAGTGGTACACGGTCAAAGTCTATCGGTTTCCATGTCCTTTAATGTTGAAAGTAACAATTGTTATCATCAGACATGAATGTAAACTACTGATTAAAAATGCAAGCACTATTTAACATAAGGCAGTATCTGGCTCATTTGGCATTAGGATGTTTTTACAAGATTTGTTGAGATTAATCAACAATTTTTTGCTTACAACTCTAAAAAACTAATAGTGTTTACTAAAGTCCAATTCTTGGGGAGCGTTATGATCCAGTGACTTATTTAAGCTCTTGTAGATCTATGCATTGTCACTTACCAGACTGTCGCGGTTTGTATGAAGGTTTGTTGAGGACCCAAATGCAGAGTCCAGGAGGGAGAGGTGAATCCTGTAGATTTGATAAAAAAAGAGGCAGACAACCAAAAATCCAAACTACTAAGAACTAGTTATGTTATGAGCCAAGGCTTCGAGGCGTATGTTGAGTAATGGAGGGGGCGTTTCCACGAAGCTCGTGTCAAGGCGTGATTCATTTAGGGAAGGGGCCAAAATTGATGACGTCTGAACCCTCGCTACCCTGATACCACCGTAAAGCATAAGAACTTCAGCAGGCATTTAAACAGCCTCAGTATTCATTCAAGATGTGGGAGTTTGTAGGAGAGCTGTGGTCAGTTGGATGGAGTTTGGAAAAACAACCAATCTAGTTGGTTAAAACTATTTTAGTTAGATCAAACAATGTAAAGATCAAAATTTGAGCAAGCCACTGGTTACAGTTGTAAGTTAAGTGATAAGTAGTATTGCTGTCAAGTTGTAGATATCAGTCTAAGTGGAGTCAGCTGTAAGGCAGACTTCCACACTTGTGGTGTATGGTTCAAGACCTGCCTTAGAGTTTTGAAATTTGTGTATTTTTGTGGCTAATGTGACTGATTTTTATTGACTTGCCCTAATAAAAATATAGATTGGGTAGAAACGCTGCCAAATTAGATTGGTTGGTTTAGCCAAAACATTGGTTGAACACATAACTTCCAACCCTGGGTCGCATCATTTGTTGCAATAGGAAGGAAAATTTGTCTATCATTTGTTTAGATATTGCTTGTTTCGGTTAGTTTTTGTTAATTTGTTAAATTAATGTACTTAGTGTCCGGTCAGCATTTATCTGTTTGATTAAATTTATTTATTTCTTAGTTTGTCTGTGAGTTATCCACCTTGTGTGTCAACAGTGGTCACTATTTAAGTTTCCCACATGTCTTGTTTGACAGGTCAGTTTTTGCTTGAGTTCTTTATGTTGGTACCTGAATGGAAGTCTGTTTTGTTGACTTCTGTTTTTTGGCCCTGTTTATCATTTTTGAACACCTTTTTAGAAATAAATTAAGACCTTTTTTGAAAGTTTTCTGTGGTTTTCTGGCTGGTTTGTGCAAATCCCTCACAACCAGCATATTATGTATCCCCCTCACTCAGTGTATATTAATCAAGTTTAAAATAAAGATAACACACAAAAAAAAAAACATAAGTTGGAAAGACTAGTTAGTTTCCTCTAAATTAATATCAACTGACTTTATTAAAACGCCATATTAATTCAGTAGAGGTTCACCAAAAATACAGATAAGTAGCTTCCTCTTTTTTTATGTGGAATTTCTTGTTTAAATACATGTGAACTAAAAACATATTAAGTGTTTCCTCATTAGTTTGAGGTTTTGTAACCACTACAGTAGGTAATATAGGAGGATATTTTTTTTGGTGTTTTTGTCTCCCTGTCTTCAGTCCAGAAAGCACTTCCCCTTCATTGCTGGTGGTCATCGAGTGTCATAGGAAATCCATTAGTGTGCGTCACAGTGTCCGTATCCTGGGGGATACACTGCTCCCCCTCTGCCTTCTCATGCCAATCTAACCCCATCTGTGGACCAGCATGGATCTGACACACTTGGAAGATATGAGCAGTGGCTGTGAAGGAAAAAATTGCAACTTAGCATCAAGCTTCCAGGAGGATTGCTTAAACCAAGACTGCTATTTGGAGGAACCTACCTTTGGACTAATCGAGTTAGGTGGGTAGAGAAAAAATAGGTCTCTAGTCTTTCAGAAAGTTAAAAAGCCAAATCAAGATGCCTGTTGATAGGCTTCCTCATTTTTATTTCATTTTTTTGAACATGTGAAGAAAGTGAGGACTAAATTAGTCGAAAGAAATACAAGTCTTACTAAAATAAGGAAACAAGTTTCAATTATCGCACTATTTTGCATAATTTAATACAAATGTAATAATGTTAAATGTAAATATTTGTTAGAATTTGAAGTTTACTTTTTTTATGTGTCACTGATGAAGGAATTGGGGCCGAATGAACTGTTCTATTATTGTGTTTCCATTTTACTCTGTTTTTTTTTTTAACTAAGAAACTGATTCTAATTTTCAAAGAAAAATCCCTTGTTTCAGGTACGATTTTCAGCAGCTTTACACACAATATACTATTATATCGCTTTCTGCTGTGGGAATTTAATATCACAAATGGCTCAAATGTGTGTGTGTGACAACTTGTTTATGTTAAGTCCAAGATTCCCCCCTTGTTTTTGTATGTTTTATTTCCATAGAGTTACAATGTAATGAATTTGTAATCAGTGTAACTAGTTCAGATATTGTGCTATAAACACAATTGTTGTTCTTATGCCTAAAAGGTTCTTGCTTTTTAATAACTAAGTCTGACACAAAATCTAAAACTGTCATTTTTATTTTCGCTGTTCATTAAAGAATAATCTCATTCATGTTTAGACAAAGTATTTTATACTCTACACTAGAAAACATCAAGTGTAGACTCATTAAAATCACCCATGTAGCTCAGAGCTAGTTTTTCGGCTAACCAGCGGTGTTGTAGAGGGCCGCACTGGATTAACGCGATGATTTCATCAACTGTCATACATGCGCTTCAAAACACTCCAAGCCGCTTCTTGTAATTGCAATCACCGATTTATTCCATTTGACCGTCATAATCCAGATTTTTCATTGACTGACACATACTGACCAGGCTAAACCATACTATGATGCCAACAATAAAGCGACAATATAGCACGGTCAACAGAAATTACGACCACCTACGGCGCGCCCGCTTCCTCATAAATACAAAATTCAGCGCGCCAGAATGACTCCCATTCATGGCTTAGTGACACTCATGCCCACCTTAGACACACCCACCACCCAGGTGTCAAAGCCGTGTGCTGCTGCCACATTAGTAATTGCTTATTTTGATCATATGGCTCTTACAGAGGCATTAGCTTTGAGCAGTTAGCTGTTAATAGTTAGCCTGGAAAAGTTAGCCTCAATGCTAACATTGATCCATTTTGTTTGTCATCTTGTAGCATTTGCTGCTGTTACAAGTAGTGTTACACCAATACCGATACCAGTATCGGGCCCCGATCCAGCACTAAAATGGCGGCATCGGTATGGGCGAGTACTAACAAATAGGGCACCGATAGCATTTTGAGAGCCAAAAGTTTATTCAGATATTGTCACCCATTCCAGGTAGCCAATACAGTGGAATCCGCTTATATTGATCACGTTGGTCCAGAGCCAATTTGAACACTATAAAGGGTTGATTACTATATCCGAATTTACCATTATTACAATTATTTTTCATGCAGAATATCATCTAAATGCCATTTGTGTGGTTTTTCAATGAGAAAAATTGAATGAAACGGATAGCTTCCGCATTTACTGAATTTTATTACAGTACCATGGTGCCGGAGGTGCACTTTTTTAAACAGTCTGAAGTTTGAAACAAACGGTTTCATAGAACAACAACATAGAAGATAACTGCATAGGAGTTAGAATTAGAAGTAGCCTAACTATGTTTTGTGTTGCGAATCTGCTGCACTGCATTAAGAAATCACTTCACATATTTATCTATGTTCCCTGGATCAGAGTGTGTCCAACACCGAGTTCACTTCTTTTTCAAAATGATGTAAAAGTTCAAAGTTATGATGTCCTCATCCGTCACGGACTCTCACATCAGAGTGCTGTCATCACTTTCGACCCAGTTATTAATTATTTTTGCACATGTTTACATTCATAAAATGGCCAAAAATGAACACTACCATATAAGCGGATTTCTTGATTACTATAAACAAATTATAAAAAATAAAATAAATTAAACAGCATTTGTGTTGAAATTATTCTGTCCCAAGCCCTTTGATCTATATAAGCGGTTGATTACTATATCCGTGACCACTATAAGCGGATTCCACTGTAAAAAGTTCTACTGGATTCATTTGTATAAGTATTTTTCTTGCTTCAAAAAGGTAGGCAGCAGCTTGACAAAACCATGATGGCACAGGCGTAACTTTGTGAAGGACTGGGCTGGACATATCCTCCACCAATAGTTTTCGCTTTTTTCCCCCCTTTCCGCTCATTTACTTTAGCCAAAGGTAACAGAGGTTGGGTGCAGCTTCCTGTTTTCAGAGCGTTTTGAGACCATTTTTTTTCCCCCTCTCGCGCTGCTCCCGTGTCCCGCCTCTCAATCTAACATTATTGAATCTGTCACTTTGAGACGTCTAATTTGTGGTCGCATTACACTGCGTACAAAGTAGCTACGTGGTTGGAGGAGAGACACACAGCAGCACTCAGTGAATATTAACCAGCAGCTACTTTTATGTTTAAGTAAAAGTTAGGAGAAGGGTTGGTTAAAAATTTTTTATCATACCACTGAAAAATATTTTTCTTTGACATACCGAGGTTTTCCAGCTAAAAATGGCAACAGATTGTAAGTTTATACAAGTTAGTGTTATAATGCAAGAAGCTTGAGAAAACATAGTTTGTTCTTCTTTACTAGTTAAAAAAGTTTGGCTTCTCAGAAAGACCATGACTCCCAGTTACAGGTTAAAATGTTCTCTTATTGTACAGACAGAATCAGACTGCAGAGCTTCTACATATCTTGAAATGCTGTTTCTGGCATCATTATATTAGTCAAGAGGTTCATAAATCTTTTTAAACAGAGCACAGAGAGAAGTAGGGAGAGCTGCAGATTTGAAGATTAAACAGATTTACTAGGATATGCAACACGCTTAAAAACATATTCAAGTTTACCAGAAGGTTTAAAACAAAAATCTATGATATGCTACATTTAAAATGAAGCATATCCATATCTTTCTGGATGGATGGATGGATGGAACTGAAATTGTACATACTAGGGATATAGCGATTTTGGCATCAGAATCGGCTGTTATTCATTATTTATTTTATACATTAATGTTTTTGGGCCCTGTAATGTAATGCACTAAAAGACATATCTCTAACTATCTATTAATATGAATATCAGTGTGTTATGGTTCTCTTGTGTTCTCAACAATAGGAAAGAATTCAATAGATATAATGTTGAGCTCATTTTTGGAAAATACAAAAACCTAATGAAATCGTTCGGGTAACTGTAGGTCCATCAGCCCCCACCCTTAGAGTGTCCCCACCAACTTTCATCACAAAGTTACACCCTTGCATGATGGCAATTAATTTACATCCAAGTAGTATGCAGTTCTTCATATACACACACATACATCAGTTTCAAACAGATGGTGTCGGTATAGACCAATACTGCTCAGCCAGGTATAGGGGCCAAAAAATGACATCAACGCAACACTAGTTAAAAGCTGAGGCTTCCTCTTTGGTTTTAGACCCACATCTTTATTTGTCTCCATTATCTTCAAAGGACAAAGAGTCAACGTCTAGGTCACTGTTTTCCTATTGTTTTAGTTTTTTTTGGTTGTGAACTACAGATTATCAAATGTAGTTCAGACTTTATTTTTTTTTTTCATTAGTTTAGATGTAAAGCTATTAAGCAGAAGCTCAGCTACCCGTTTTAGCTCATGTTGATCCAGCTGAAACATCATCACTTTGTTAAATAACCAATATTTCAACTTCCTGTGTAATGTCAGCCAGCCAAAGAGAAGCTGACAGTGCATGACTTCCATTAACTACTTTCTAACTTCTTAATGAAAAATCTCATTATGAAAATGTAATAATTGCATAGTTTCTCCTTATTAGAAATCATTGATCACAACTAAGGAATTTTCTGCGATCTGAGGAAATGGGAACAAACTCTCCATCCTATTTCTAAATTATTCCCTAAAGTGATAATTGAGAAACCTTTAAGAGAGGTTTTGTTACAAACGTAATCGTCAAGTCAATATCTGATCCACAAGAGAGAGTCTGAATCCATATCCATATTAATCATGAATGGTCCCTTAGATCTCAATTAATGGTTAGTCCAAGAAGGACTAAGATCAAAGCAAGATGCACAAGATTTAAAATCACTTGAACAATAAGTCATATTGTATGTGAAAGCTACTTCATTAAGTTATAATTCTAAATTTAAATGATTTATATTATTAAATAATCTATATATTTCCATTTCCTTTCTTTGTTTCTTTCTTTGTTTCTTTCTTTCTTTGTTTCTTTCTTTCTTTCTTTCTTTGTTTCTTTCTTTCTTTGTTTCTTTCTTTCTTTGTTTCTTTCTTTCTTTCTTTCTTTCTTTCTTTCTTTCTTTCTTTCTTTCTTTCTTTCTTTCTTTCTTTCTTTCTTTCTTTCTGCCATTACTTGTCACAGTCTTGGTTCTGTTAAGTTTTCTTTGAGTTTTCAGTTTCACGTTGATCATGTTTTTCTTTGTTCTCTAATTTTATTGGCTTAATTCATATATTGTTGTGTTTTCTGGATGTATTGAGTTCATACAGTAGGTTTTTTTGTTGTTATCTGTTGCCCTCTTGTGTTTGTTTTCCCCTTTTCCCAGCTCCTTCTAGAAGCCTCTGTTCTCTTCTGCTCCCAATCAGCTCGTTAGTCCTCTCTTTGTTCAGTCAGCCATAAATACTTTACCTGTGCAGTTCCTCAGTGCTGCTTCCTCCTCGTTCCCTGGCTCCTCATGCTTGTTTTCCACTCTCGTCTCCATGGTTCTGGTTTGTTTTACATTTTCATGTTGGATTTTTGGATTCCTGCCTCAGTTGCTTGAATCTTCAACTCACCTCTGAGTTGAAACTGACCTCTGCCTCCTTGCATTTGGGTCGTCAAAATCTCAACCTAACCCTGACATTACTAAATGTATGAATCAATGCACTTCAGCACCTAAAGATACGCATGATGTAAAGGCATCAAAAGGTCAAATCTATTATTATGCAAAATACAAATATATGGTATTTTTAAACTGAGTACTCTACCAAATATTTCTGATAGGTTATATATAAAAAAAAACATTTTAAAGAATTGATTTTCTGCTGTGCAATATTCCAGTTGAACAGACTGCGGTTCAGTATTGTGTTTAGCTCAACCTTTTACCTGTTAAATATTGCATAAGGTGGTATTTTTAATTATAAGGAATGATCATTTAAGCAGCAAATGGAAGCAGAAGGAATAACTAACGAAATGGTAACTTTGGGCATCAGTCTCTGAAGAGTTATAATTGATTTTAACTCCAAATTTGATCTATTTGTAAAAAAAAAAATACACTCAACAGGTTGTAAACACCTAATTCATTAGTCTGTGAGAAACTTTTATTAATTATTAATTAAACATTATTTAAACATTTTATTACAAAAGCACTTTATTCTCTTGTTTCAGTTTGTGTGACTGTGATCTATATTCCACTGATGTTATTTGGCCTTCTTGGGAACATATTAACCATACTGGTGGTCTGGCTCCGCCCACATATGAGAAGCTCTACATATCTATACCTGAGCAGCATGGCTGTCAGCGATCTGCTGATCCTCCTTCTGCTGCCTCTGGATCTCTATAAGGTACTCTCTCTGCATGCTTGTTCTGTCTACACATATACAAGATCATATATGAAATATTTTCAGGCGGGCATCTCTATTTAAAGAAAGGAACAGATGTGCAAACTTCTTTTTTTTAAGTTTTCCACATAAAAATAAGTTGATGATCGGTAGAACCACTAATGCTGGGTCTCTGGTTGTTCATCGGACTCAGTGTTGCACATCAACAGACAGAAGTTTTCACCAACTTTTCTTAATTAACTCTTCATTAGAGAGCATCTGTATTGATGCAATGTAAACACCACAACAGTCTCTAGGAAGGGTTTTCTTCAAATATCTCTCCACAGCTTGAAAGTCAAGAAGAAAAGCAAGTTTGTTTAAGATTAAAAGCAATGTTAACTAATACCCTATGGTATTTTGTGTTTAGGCCTAAAAGTTCAATTCTAGTGGTGAAATCAGAAAATGAGTTTAAAACTTGAAGCAGGGGTCTTCAATGTTTTTTCAGGCCAAGGACTCCAAAATTAATGGCGGGATGGAGCGGGGACCCCCTGATTATATTTATTGTATGAAACTGTGTTATATCAAACTGGTCCTGTAGTCACTATATTACAGATGGAGTCATGTAATGAAAGTAATTTCTCCCTGGGATTATTAAAGTATTTCTGATTCTGATTCCTCATTAAGGGGACAGGTGTTGTGAATGACACAGTGGTCGGCTTTAAAAAGCTCCTGTGAAAGACATCTTCTGCCTCCATTCATCTGTTTACTTCAGTGTGTTGAATTGATGTTAATGTTTAGACAGAAGACATTTAAACTAGTGGAAAAAAATGCAAGGGAGGAATATAAAAAAAAAAATTATTTGCGACTCTGATGCAGTACCTTCGTGGACCTCCTAGGAGCCGCGGACACCCTGTTGAAGACTGTTAGGTTTATTCAATAATGATTATAAAATTAATGTGTGCTTATAAAAAATTTTTGCAAGGGGATGCTCCACTCCTGTCTCATGATTCAGTCAGGAGACCATCCTGCCTTGTCATTCTGATGGAGCATTCTGTCTTCATGAACTGATCAATTGTTCTGTCAGAACAATACTCTGTTTGTAACCATGTGTCATGTTCTGTTAATAAATGCTCTGCGGAGGAGGTCCAGTGGGAGACAGTGTGTTTGAGTTTGGGGTTCAACTGTCTCTCCTTTCTGCAGAAATTGTATCGATAATGATGTATTTCAGTTCTTCTTTTGCAAAAACCTACATTTGATGAACCCAACAAAGACCTCTGATGTAAAGGTTATAAACACATCTAAAAGGCATTGTTAATGGTTAAAGCACTTAACTTATGCTCATTTTTCCATTTGAGTTTTGGATACAGCATATTTACTGGCAAAGATCTGGTCTTCCATTTCAAATGCTACTGTAAATGTTCATATCCTTGTACAGTTTTGGCTTAATAATTCATTCAACAAATGGCCCAATTTAGAGCCTGTACAGGGGCTGCAGGGTGACGCAATGGGTAGCGCTGTTGCTTTGCTGCAAGAAAGCTGTGGGTTTGATTCCTGGCCTGTGGTCTTTCTGCATGGAGTTTGCATGTTCTCCCTTTGCATGCATGGGTTCTCTCCCACTGTCCAAAAACATGACTGTTGGGTTAATTATCTTTAGGTGTGAGTGTGTGCATGGTTGTTTGTCTCTGTGTTGCCCTGCCCAGGATGTACCCCTCCTGTCACCCGTATACTGCCAGAGATGGGAACCGGCCCCTCCACAACCCAGGAACAATTATTTGGTTACTAAATCAATTTCAAAGATAAATCCCTTGAACAATTATTGATGACTAACCCAAATAACTGCTGGTATATACTGTATATATTTATATAGTAGTATAATACACTGATACAGTGGTTCCCAAAGTCGGGGGGCAATGTAAATGTGGGGGTGATGTGGTAGAAATGAATTGCATGAAGGACTTAATTTTAGAGGCATTGTTTGACAGAAATGTATTGATAGTAATAATGAATTTTGTGACGCAATTACAAAACAGTTGGATTTAAATAATTACATTTTAGATGTAATAGTTTTATTATTTAAAGTTGATTTTAGTTAAATTATTTCCATATGTATTTCAGTGGTGTTAAATTTTATTTGTTTAGCTGTTGAAAAAGGTTGGGTTGTTAGGACAGGGGTAATGGGTTTAACCCACTGAATCGATCTAAATTGTATGAGAGTAACAGCGGTGTAATAAAAAGGTATTCACATTCTTTTTTTTTTTTTATAACCATTGTATGCTTTTTTCATACCTACATGTTTATCATCGTCTTAACTAATCAGATGTACATTCTGTCTTTTCCAGCTCTGGAGACCCAGACCTTGGCCACTGGGAGACCTTGCATGTAAGCTGACTATGTTCCTTTCAGAATGCTGCACCTTCTGCACCATCCTCCACATCACCTTCCTCTCCCTGGAGAGGTACCTGGCAGTATGCTGGCCGATCACGGCTAAAACCGCTGTGACACGCAGGAGAACCAGGGTCATCATTGGCTGCCTGTGGCTGGGGGCAGCTGTCAGTGCTTCACCTGTGTTAATCATGGTCGGAGTGGAGGATGTTGGGAGAGAGGACTTCAGCCTAAGCCAGTGGAAGGAGGAAGGAGGATGGATGGGAGGAGAGGGAGAACAGGGAGCAATGAAGATGAGTGGAGGGGAAAGAGGAGGTGCACTCATGGCTTTGCTGGATCCACGATTAGAGGAAATAAATATGGGAGACAAAAACAACGAAGGCTGGGATAAAGACGTGACAGACTTTAAACGGTTTGAAGACAGAAAAAGCAGATCAAAACATGCATGGAAACGAGGGGATACCAATGAAATGAAAGATGAAACTGAAAACGCTGAAGAGTCTATTGAAGAGGAAAAAAAGATTGAATTTGAGAAAGATCAGCAAAACAAAATGAAAGAAGATGAGGGAGGAGGAAGCGGTGACATAGCTGATGGAGAAACTGATAGGAGAGAGTGCCGCTGTACACAGTACGCCATATCCTCAGGCCTCTCATCAGCCATGATGATTCTCTCCTATGTGTACTTCCTGGTTCCTCTTTGCATCCTTGGATTGGTTTACACCCTCATTGGACGGACTCTTTGGCTCCGCCCAAAGAGCAGCAGAAGAGATCAGAGTCACCGTAGCACTGTGAAAATGTTAGGTAAACAAACACAATCATTTGACTGATACAAAAAAAAATGTTCCATTTGTAAAACATTTCCCAACAGATACTGATTTAGGCAATTCTGATTTCTCCTTTAAAAGTATAAATAACATTTATTTAGCATTCAAAACATTTCCAACCATGTATTTGAATGCATTCATTGTTAAATATGTTTCTACATAATTAGAATGACTACAAAATTATTGGCGGTCATCATTTTATTCCAAGCTTTAGAAATAGTCACTTACTGTCTATACGTTGGAAAGTGATTAAGTAGACAGAAAATCCCAAAGTTGCCCTGATATGACCGATTTATACTCAGAAACCAGGTCGTCTGTGTGTGTGTCGCATTCAATGGAAATGTGCCCCCGCCTGCCAAGGACACTCTGGTGCACCTCTCCAGAATTGCGACCGCAGACAGTGCCACAGACAAGAGGCATCTGATTGGTCAAATCTACATCCGGTCTACACTATGCGTATTTCCTGTTTGGTACCTACCATTTGTATGACCGCCATTGTGGAAAACGACTTGTGAAGATGGACCAGCTAGAAGAGTGAGGTGCACGAGAACGCTGGGACCCTTTTTCCACCTGGATCCCCCCTCTTTTTTACCCTCATGTCCCCCCGTTGTCGCACAAACTTGCCCCCACTTCCTCATCGCCTCGGCAAAAAGCTAGTTTGTGATTGTCCCTCTTTGCATTGTCACGTGGAATAACAGCGCAGACCACGCCACCTGGTTGTCCACCTGGATCCCCGTAAAAAGAGCGGGGATCCAGGTGCAAGGACTGGAACTGCAAAGAATGTCCAGGTTTCAGTTAAATGGAGGTTAGGATGCATCCAGTTAAGGCTGAGTTTTTAATGATAACAACCGATGATTTTTAGCCAGGGAACAGGCATTGGCCAGGTGGACGCTTGAAGAGGGTACCAGAGATAAGCTACACCACCTACTGAGATATCAGGGACTGCATCATGGCGGCCAAAAAGTTATACCAAAAAGCTTTGTTTTCATTTTTACATTTATATTTTTTACATTTGTAATATAATTATGGATTATATTAAGTAAGACAAAATCTCAGCAATTAAGTTAGTTTGTTAGACCTTTTCATTTTCTCTTTAAAACAGGGTAAAATCCATCCATCCATTTTCCGTCCCAAGCGGAGGGGTGCAGATGTCTATGGTAAATGGTAAATGGTAAATGGCATGTACTTATATAGCGCCTTTATTCAAGTTAGGAGACTTGACCAAAGCGCTTTACACTACATTCATTCACCCATTCACACACACACTCACACACTGATGGTGGCAAGCTACATTGTAGCCACAGCTGCCCTGGGGCTCACTGACAGAAGCGAGGCTGCCGTACACTGGCGCCACCGGGCCCTCTGACCACCATCAGTAGACAATGCAGGTGAAGTGTCTTGCCCAAGGACACAACGACAATGAAAGTCAGAGTCGGGGCTTGAACCGTCAACCCTCCGATTACAGGGCAAACTCCTACATCCAACGCCACTGTCGCCCCATGTCTATCTCCACACCACTCTATCGTAGGGCAACAAAGAGAAAAACAACCACACATTCACACCCACGATGAATTTAGAGGAGCAAATTAATCTAACAATCATGTTTTTGGACTGTGGGACGTAGCCGGAGTACCTGGGGAGCATGCTCAAGGAGAACATGCAAACTCCATGCAGAAAGACCCAAAGACCTTAACCAAACTGCTGCAGAGACCTAAAGCTTATTCGCTCGCTCAGGTGGACAGGTGAGCCTGGTTCTGCTGAAGGTTTCTTCCTGTTAAAAGGCAGTTTTCCTCTCTACTCTCTCTACAAGCATGCTTGGTGTGAAAAAACTGCCCTCGAGTCAATCAGTCGATGCCTATTATCTTCTTTATTATTTATTCATTCTGTTTTTTCCCCCATTCCACGTCCTCAGCAGAGTGACGTTTATCATCAGGGAAACTCTTTATCTGCTTTCATTCATATCGTAGTTTGTTCAGGGAGCAGAAAAGTTTGACACCAAAGTTTTTAACCTGCTCTATTCAAGTAAAATCCGTCTCTCTTGACGAGGTGTCTCTCTTCCCAGAAGATATTAATGTTATCAATAAATCCAATGGTAGGAAATAGGGATGTCCCGATCAGCGTTTTAGGCCTCCGATCCTTATCTGATCTTTTAACCCCAATTCCGATCCGATTTTGAGTCCTGATCCAATATTTTGCCTTTAGTATTGAAATTGATCAAACTCAAATATATTTTGAGCAAGTAACACAACTTTTTATTAGACTAATATTTTATCAAAAAGCATTACTATTATTATTGTAAATCCCATGAAATAAAAATCTTACCCAGAATTAAAGGTCAGCTTCAATTTAATATTTTAGACAAAAGTAAAAAGAAAAACTCTGACTTGGTACAGTATTACTGTATCCAAAAGAAAGTGCTATCCAAGATCCACTTTTAGCTTATAAATGCTTAACGTAGGCTGCCATAAAGTCAATAAAAATAAAGTGCACTGATCACTGGGCAAATATAAAATGCATTTCCTCATCTTAAATATGGTGTAAACAGATTGACAAATAGTCACATTTAAGTAAATTAATTTGAAACATCTAAAGCCAACTTAAAATGTAAACAGAATTCAGTCAAATGAATTCAAAACGTTGGAACTTCAACTTAAAAGTAGCATGATCACTGAAACATGATCAAAATCAACAAGACCATTCTTTAGTTATGAACAAATACGTATGTAGTCCTAAAAACAACTAAACAACCAGCTTTGCACCGCCGCGGGTGTTTGTATTGCGCAACTACTGTCAACCGTAACTAGCGTGTACTTTACGGCAGTTGCCGTAAAGATCAGCGCGACTAGTCAGGTAATGTAGCCGAGCTCCAATCACAGGAAAAAAAGAAAAGATCGGGCCGATCCGATCTTGAGATCGGGATCGGGACATCCCTACTAGGAAACTCTGCTAAAGACGGGGCCACTAATGAACACTTTAAAATGTATCTGTTTCAAAGTGTTCAGTAGATTAATCACATCTCCCTTCAATAACTGTTACTGCCTCTTAGCAACATCATTCTGTTATCCGATGTAAATGACTAGGTTCTTTAAAGTTGGATATGATTCTGTGATCTGTGTGATACTCTTTGAGGTTTCAGACAGCATGCTACAACCAACCTTCTATATATCAGGGTTTTTCTCGTTGCAAAAGCATTTAAAGTCATTCACAAGCATCATCAGTTACTATAAATGTTGTTGGCTTAGCAGCTGGTTTGTTCTGAGGTTATTAAGGAGAGAGCTTAAGGTTGCCGTACCTTTTTCTGTTTTCTGTAACAGGTTGTTCTCTTCAAGGTCACCTTGTAAGACCTTGACCTTGTTTTGTTGTACTGCAATCTTTGCTATTGTAATCTTACTTAATTCTGAGCAAACAGAACAACATTTCAAAAAGAGCAGAGGAAATCATGCCAGCTTGTGACATTACAACAGAATTTACTGAATTCAGTCCAGATGCATCACAAATAAACGAATGTTTAGTAATTATGCAAACAACCAATTTGATACTTATAATTAGAGGGTAGGTAGTGTCATAAAGGCTCAAAAGCTTTTTCATCTTTTAGCTCAAAATAATTGTCAAAAACATACGGTGTCTACAGCTTAAAGCACTGTTAGTAATGGGTGATGTGAAGAAGTTTCCCTAAACTTTTACTGTGGATCTAAACGATATGTTATGGACAAAAACAGCTGCTTAAAATTCTCTAAAAGGTTCAAGGATTTATACTGTATGTGTCAACTGTCAACTTAATTATATAGGGACAACAGATGGTTTAACTGTTGGATCACTGCAACCTCTAATATTCTTTGTTGTCTCTATCTTTATTGCACCAGGAGTTATCGTCTTGGCATTTGTGCTCTGCTGGCTTCCCTTCCACGTTGGTCGGACCATATTGACCCTTTCGCTCGGCTCTGGTGCTGAGAAGCAAGACACCTATATGGACGCTACTTCCTACTTTTCCACGAATGTCAGCGTCCGTAGCAGAGACATTCACACGGATCAAGAACCCTTTGGACACTCTGACTCAAAAACTCATTTCCCTGATTCCCTCTCTCACATGGAAGAGGTGGAAACTCTCCCAGAGGCACACGAAATATTCTGTGACATGTGTGCCAAAGACTCACCTCTAGAGACCACTAAGACAAAATGTAAATTTTACAACAGTACCACGCACAAAATGCCAAACAGGACGCCATTTTCTCTAAGTCCCAAACCTTTCGCTACCACCACACCCACCGACCTGTACATTTATGTCACAAACAATGACACCATCCTCAACAACACACACTCTCACCAAGACGCTAACATTTACTTTCTGTATTACTTGTCTCAGTATTTCACGCTGGTTTCTTCTGTTCTCTTCTACCTCAGTGCCGCGGTCAATCCGTTACTTTACAACCTGATGTCTGCCAGGTACAGACTGGCTGTTCACAGTCTGATTAACAAACACACTCACACTCATCCTCACCGCCTGCGCTCATTCACAGCTCGACACTCTACAACCACTCTGTAACAGCAGTGTTGTAATTGCTCCTGCTTCTTGGTAGCTCCTGAAGTTTAGGCTGTAGGTCTGTCCACTGTGATGCCAAAGAAGAAAGATATTTCTAGGTCTGATGAGTCATTTTTTTGATAGATTTTAACAAATTTTTTTTGGAAAGGCTACTCTGGATTACGACTCATTTTAAGTTTTTTGGCAGAGGCTAACAACAAAACCTTAAAGGAATAGTACACCCAAAACAGGATTAGCCTTCATTTTCTACTCACCCCCATGCTGAACAACACTCTGGAGTACTTTTTTAATATCTCAAATGCATCTGGAGATCTGGGAGGCTTCTTGCTGTCTGCTGACATTCAAATAATGGAGGTCTATTGTGCCCGAGACAGAAAGGTCCATAAAAGTCCACAAAAAACGTGTAAATATTCCTCCATACTGCTCGTCCAATGTATTCCAAGTGTCCTGAGTTGGTTGAGCATGAGTTCTTTGCCGAGCTGAATGCGCAATTTCATCTGGTTTGGTCTGCCGCGGTTTCCTTAGACTCGTGAACTCGCAGGAAATCCTATACACTACTGTTTATGCTCTAAAAACATTCTAAATGACTTCGTTTCGAGTAAATTCTGGACGCTATCCACTCAGGACACTTGGAATACATTGGACGAGCAGTATGGAGGAATATTGACACGTTTTTTTGTGGACTTTTATGGACCTTTCTGCCTCGGGCGCCATAGACCTCCATTATTTGAATGTCAGCAGACAGCAAGAAGCCTCCCAGATCTCCAGATGCATTTGAGATATCAAAAAAGTACTCCAGAGTGTTGTTCAGAATGGGGGTGAGTAGAAAATGAAGGCTAATCATGTTTTGGGTGTACTATTTCTTTAACCTCTTACACCCTAAGGGGGTATAAATAAATTTCTGCCTGACAAAAACACACAAAAGTAAATAACTTATAGCCTCACAGCTATTAAATTTAAGAAAAAAACTTTTGGTACCTCTGTAAAGGTAAGATGTCATAGAATGGTTTTCTGGTGTCAGCACCATTGTAGCTTTGACCCTGCCTGAAATATTAGGGACAAAATACAAAATGTTTTGCATTTTTTGAACCCCGCCAACATTTTCTTTGAAATAAACATTGCAAAACACTACCAAAATATTATTTATAGCACAAAAAAGTAGTACAGACTTTTAAATCTAAATGTTGTGTAAAAATATACCAAATTTGGACTCAATCAGATGAATCATATTCATTTTAGAATGGTATTAGTGAGAAATTTCTTAGGCGGAGAGGCCATTTTGGCACATTTAGCCATAAATGTCACCAAACTGTGCCAAATATGTTTTTTACATCAATACTGGGGGTTTGGTAAAACTACGAGGTCATGTAGCAGCTGGACCCGCCGGTGGGTCCGTAGGGTTCAAGGGGTTGAGGTCTACTAAAGTCGTAGGGAAATGGCTGTTCCAATTCAATTCAGTTTATTTCCATAGCACCAATTTACAATTTCATAATTGGTTTTAGAGATCTGACCCACATGCAGAGAACCACTCAGAGACCAAGGGTAAAATTTTAACAGGTTTATTCAATGTAGAAAAACACTGAAGAGGAAGTTAGAACTCAGCAGACTGGTGAAGCATGAACCGGAAAGTCTGAAGGGGAGTTCACAGTGATCAGTTCAGGGACGATAGGAAAAATGACTGAGGCTTGAATATGCTGGAGAGAAACTCACTTTTGGGGGGCTCTTTGTTAATCCTTGAATACAGTTTGTGGGGATTTTAATCCAGAGAAGAGGGAACTCACTGGAGAGTGGACAGGCAGACACACATTGGACCAAGAGGTGTACAGGAGTGGACTGTCACTTGGTTTTCCAGATGAGGACTTGAACAGATCGTGTGGAGATTTTCCCCTGCTCAGTGTGATTCAGTAAGTCCTTCCAGGGGGAGAAGGTCCAGGCTATCCAGTTACACAGGAAGGCTTCCTGCCGAAGAGCAAAGACAAAAAAAAAGATAAGACTCAGAGAAACAATGCTAAGGTTTAGACTGCTAATCTCAGCTTGGCTAGAGTACCCAAAACTGGCAAACACTCTGGAGTCGAGGTAGTGACAGCCCCCTGCTCTAGTACTCCTCTGGTAATGACCCAACGAGCCACAGGTGTGCAGGGAGGCCCAACAAGGACAGGGCACCACCTGGTGTTGGAGAGAGGAAAACACAGAAACAATCCACAAAAACTGGAATCCTAACACACAACACTTGTCATCTCAAGGCCCTTTACAGTTCACCAGATCATACAGTGAAACTGATTCAAGTTCTCTATTTAAGGAAAACCAATTCATTGCATTGACTCCTTTACTCGAAGGCAATCCCTCATACTAAGCATGCTTGTAGTGACAGTTGAGAGGAAAAACTCCCTTTAAACAGGAAGAAACCTCCAGCAGAACCAGACTCAGTGTGAGCGGCCATCTGCCGAGGACGGATGGGGTTCAAGGAGACAAAAGCAGAGATACAAATGTCAACTGTAAAAAGCAGCGCCGTCAGTCAGAGAAACAGGACTACACTGGGAAAAAAAGGCTGATCTCCAAAATCTATAAACAAAGGTGTTGATGGCAGCAGCACAGCTGATATTTCTCTCCAGGATGGAGTCACAGCCAAACAGGTGCAGACGAGGCGATGCTACTATTTGAAAAAGCAGAGAGCAGAACATTAGAGATTGAACTAAGATTCTGCAGTGTGGGAGAATAGAGATAAACTGAAGCAAAATTATGAAATAGGGGTTCCAACCGTTGCATTTCCGAATTCTCCCAAGTGGTGCCCGACTTTACCCGAGTGAATAAAGTGAAAGTGATTGGTCCTTTATCAAGGGGGCGGGGTTGTTGTGGCGATTCGCAAGCAAGTTTGGTTGTGCCCGGTTTGTCGAAAGCATCTTGCTAACCAGTTAGCAACTTAGTGCTAGTAGGTTCCGAATGGGAAATTCCATTGGGACCAAGTAGCACTAAATTGGTGACTCAGAAACGACACTGTCAAGGAACGCTATGGACAGAGGAAACATACAAGAGGAGGAGAGTTTAGTGTCGGAGGTCGTGGATGAGTCTCCTCCGTAATACATTTTTCATTTAGAGGATGTAAGTGGGGACAAAGATGTTGTGGAAGAGGACACCAGGGCGGCAGAAGCTTGGTTTGGTAGAAGGCTTACAGCCGTACATGTTTGAGCCCTTGCCTCGCAACGCTGCCAGTTCTGTTAGCTCTACGCCTGCTGAAGACACAGACGTCCATCCCCGTGAACACTGGGACGGAACTCAATGGGAAAGGAAATTATTTTTATTTCAACCGTTGCGTATATTAGCTGCGACATACAGTATGAATCAAGATGCTATGAAAAATATTTGATTGGCGGACTGTTGATATATAATTGGCCGAATTTAGGTGTTCAGGCTGACATATAACTAACTGGCCTGCATAAAATTAAATTTTTTTAATAGAAATTTTCTACATTTTGGGACAATATCGTCTGATGAAAAGTACATTTATATACATGTTTAAGCCATAATGATTTGACATTTAAATATGATTTCCCTACGACTTTAAGGATTTAGGCAGCAAGAATAGTTGAAATAAGAAAATTGAAAAGTGCTTATTTTAAAGGGGACTACATCTAGTTTTTAATGATTTGAGTTTTATATGGCATAATTAAAAAAAAATCCACATTAAGTAGGGTAAGTAAGTTGGTTATGCAGACAAACAAGGAATGTGATTGTGGTTTCTCTTTGGTCTCAATTAAAACTTTTTAACAAACATATAGGAGGGGAAACAGAAATGTTTTTTGTAAATATGTAGATATTTATCTTTTTACAAAAAAAACATGAAACAATATGTTTAAATATGTATATATTTCAATCTGGGCGCTCAGACTGTTACGTGTTCATCAGACTGACAAGAAAAACTGTGTCTGATGCAACTTTCTTGTATGTAAATTCTTTAGTTCTTATCTGGACATTAGATCTAAATCAGAGATCTTTAACATGGGAGTCTGCTCCTGAATATCAGTATTTTGGTCTAAACCCTGGCTAAGAACAGTTAATTCTTGCCCTATTATTTGTGCTCTACTTTATTTCATCATAGTGTTGCTAAAATATCAGTTTTATGATCTTTCTGTAACTTTCACATCATATTTGCATTAAAGGAGCAATAAGTACTAATGACACCGAGTGTTTATAGGTGATTTAAATCTTGGTTACATTTTTCTTCAGTCTTGCACACATTTTATTTTTCCAACATAGTTTAGACTTCTGGTCTAAAAACTTTCTGTCCAGGGTGTGTGGGATCTGCAGCTGAGCTTTTCCTGAACATGGACCTGCAAGGGTCCTGGATGGAGGTAATGTCAGCTCAGGTTACTCTAGACCAGAGGTCACGCATTAGATCCGGATCCGGACTCACCTGCTGGCCGATCCGGAACCAACCTGATTTAAAACATTTCTAAATTACTGCATGTTTTCCAACAACATTGTCTAAATTCCGCTTCTCCTGTTAACATGGTAAAGCCCTCCAGAGCACCTGGGACCAGGCTACATGTGATCCAATTCAGTCAATGAGCTGCGTCAGTCTTGGTTGCTGCTGCTGCTACTTTTAGACACAGCAGGCAAACCTGTGGCAAGCCGGGCGATGGGAAAGAAGGAGAAGACGATGAGAAAAAGAAAGTGTGGACTGCTGGAAGAGGCGCAGTGAAATGGTAAAAGAAAAGGGAAATGGTGCTCAAAGATGACCCTACACATTTTTAGTATGTTTGGCTCAGCCTGCGGCTGTGAAGCAGGATTCTCCACCATGAACAATATCGATCCAGGCTCACGAATGAGCACCGTGATATGTGCTGGAGAATGGCGTGGTCACCATTAAAAACCAGTTTTATAAAACCCACAGCGCAGCGTAAAGCCCACTGCTCTCATTAAGCCAGAAAAAAGAAAGAAAACAAAACAAACGGTCAGTTCAGGTGTTTTATAAAATACGTGAGTCAGGAAATTGTCTATATCAG